AGGCCCGGCCTCGGTGGCCTTGTGGGAAATCCGGGCCTGGGTAGATCGCGATCGACCTTGTGGGCACCCCTGCTCTACATTCATCAACCTCTGTGTAAACTATACATATAATATGTCATCATATAAATATACTGTATATATATAGCTGTAACATGAAATACATATAATACCTGATCCATATACAACACAGCTTGACCTGTCCCTAAATATCCTAAATATAAGAACTTAGTGCTACCTGACCTCCTGAATGTGGCCTAAAGCTTAACCACAAAATATATTCTGCTACCATCAGTAGCACAATGGATATTGCTGGTCTGTAAGATACATTTAATGAAAGAAATTACAATTCTTTAAAAAGCTGATAATGAAGCATACTACAACATTTGGGCAAGGGGGCTACACTTTCAAAGCCCTGTAAATCATTCCTGGAGACCTTTCCACACTATAATACAATAGTACATGTTCAATTTAAGTAGAACTGAAGCCAACATTTTTTTATGTTTTGGATAACGTAAGGGAGGGTTAAAAACCAGCCAGATTTTTGTTTCTCCTCTATGTCTTACTGAGGAGATTTCTCTTCACTTCCTGTCAGACAGCCACAACAGAAAGTGAGGGGAACTTCCTCCACAATAAGGTAAATCCCTGGTGGTCAGCAGGGTCACTAGAACTAGTGTCCCTATTGGAAAATGTCCATTCTATTCCTGTTCTGAAAACAACCCAAAATTTGGGATTCTTTTGTCACTTTCAATGGTAATGGTCACAAGGACAAATAGAGAAGGTGAATCTTCCTAATTGAGACACAGACATCAATCAAAACTTGACAGTTGTTCTAATCCCTCTCCATTCTATCCCCAAAAAAAGTTTTGGCTTCAGTTGCACTTTAAAAACTTCTGTGATTAGTTTGATTCTGAATAGAAGTTTGTACGAATATCGGCAAATTTGGACATTCAGATGCATCCAAATTTCTTTCTGAATTTTTTTCCGCTTTGGTTAAACTTTAAAATAAAAAAAACACTGAGTCCCCTCCCTATTTCATTCCAGACCATTTTGGTCTGATAGAATGTTTAGGGGGACCCCAACACTAAAAAAACTTTTTACAAAATAAATGCGTGGGGTTCCCCCTAAAATCCGAGCAGCAGCCTGGCAGAGCAGAAAAGGTGAGAGTGACGAGCATGTGCCCCCACTCCTGCACCATACCAGGCCACATGCCGTCAACATTGGGAGGGTGCTTCGGCCAGAGCTGTCATAATAACAACCATTCTTTTGAATGCCAACAAATGGGCGGAGCGAGTCATAATGTCACGGGCCGCATTCCGTCCCTTTTGTTGACATTCGGGAGCAGAGTTGTTATTATGACAGCTCTGCTCCCAAATTGCATTTTCAGGTGGATGAGGTCCCGAATAGCAATGATGTTATCTTCATTTTTTTTTAGCTTTCAATAATACCTGTTGCTTATATCTTTGTTTACAGAATATGTTTTAATATTTTTTTCTTTTAACAGATTTTACACCCGTGGAATTTCTTTCTTAGTCTAACAATCTGCTCCATTGGATTATTATTCCATTACAGTTCATTACTTTGTAAAAGTTTTTTAGTAGTAATCTTATTATCACGTTAAAAACTACTTTTAATTACACACACAGCCAAATTCTAGATTCAGTCTTTTGTAGCTAATTCAGCAATGGCATATAATCTATGTATCTTCCCCAGTAAAAAATACAATTATCTATGTCATGACACTAGAAGGGTTATTCACAAAAAGGTGAAGAGTTTGGAGAAGGCAGGAGAAGTGAACAATCTAGGCCAAAATAGCTGATTTGGAAAAGGTCTCCAATTCAGCTCACTTTCCAGTTCAGCTATGTTGTCCTAGATTGTTCACTTCTCCTGCCTTCTCCAAACTCTTCACCCTTTTGAGAATAACCCTTGCAAATGAGATCCACACCAACCTGATGGAATGTGAAGAAGACTTCTCCTAACTGATAAATAAGATTGAATATCTTTGCACTACCTCTCTCCCATCACTAAACTCTGTAACTGGGAGTTTACAAATCAAAAAACATTATTCACCAAAATAATATACCATCCTCACAGATGATATGGGTTCCATAGAGTATTTATAGTATGTCATTGCATTAGGAATCCACCTAATAAACTAAAATCTGATGTTTAAATAAAAACACTACAAAAAAGTTTTATGACCCTGCTGTCTAATGGGTTTGGCAATCGCCCAGTGTCAATAAATGTGGAACAGTTAAGCCGTAATGTCCCCCTCACCCAAATAACACGGGGTAGTTATGGATGCAAGCAGTAACATTTCTTTCAAGTTTGCACTAGTTTCTTAGTCTTTATTATCAGTGAAGTATCCCTGCCACTTATCCAGTGTCTTAAATATAATTTTGGAAGCCATCTAAAATAGAAACAACCCTACCAAGTGCCACCAAAATATGTTTGGTAACATGGAGAACAAAGTGCAGTTTTTTTGGGCAAGATTATTACACAAACATGCTTAAAAAAACCCCAAAACAAATAGCTGTCTTAACAGATCAAATGTTTTATTGAGATTGTTTATTATCAAAGCTAGAATTACAAAATGTGAAATGCTCTGTGTAGCTTGTTCTTAAAAGAAGCAGCCAATGAAATGTTTTTTTTTTTTTAAGTAGATCTACTTGCCCCTGACTTTAGTACCACAATAACCCCAAAGCAGCAGGCTTGTCATAGTATTTTTATATTGGCTTGTAGATGGAATTCAAACTCATAAACAAGGCAAATGCGGCATGCTTTAAGATGTTTCTGACATGTGTTGAGCTAAGATTTGAGCTCAAGGTTTGGCTTCAAGCTGCTATATGGACCTTCTGCCTCTGAGATGCATGCAGAGTACACTTGTATAGGGAAGAATGGAAACTTAGATGCAGCCAAAAGCCAATATACATTAGCCTTAATCATGCTTCTAAGAACCAAGCAAAGTTTGCATTCTGTGAACCTTGCAGGAAAGTCCATGAACCCCATACATAACACTAAACCTTAATCAAGTCCGTGAAATGCAAATCTTATCATTTTCTCTGGCCTTTTTAAGGATAATTTGCAAACTTTTGTTAAAAAAAGAGCATGAGTAGCTGGACACTTCCATGTACATGTACCAATGCAATGAGGAGAGGGTTTTTGAATGGTTTCAATGGCAACCTTGAAAATACAAAAGTCCTTTAAATGCCATGCATGGAGCATGCCTTAAAGTGACAAACTCAGGAGTTAAACCTTAAAAATGCATTCAAGTACCTTAGCGCAACATACACATGCCTTGTGGAGGGTGGCTTCTTTTGTTCCCAATAGCCCCTGTGTGTGTTGCAAAGGCACCACCACCCAGGCTCGCTCCCGTGAAGGACCATCATGGGAGTGAGCTTGGGGCAGTGGCTACAATACATTCCAGAAGGAAGGACAGTGTCAGCACAAATTCTGAAATATGATATATGTTTTGAGGTATATATTTTGAGTATCTACAGCTGAGAGATGGTCAAATAAGATACATTTTCATTAACAGGTAAGGTATTTGAATGCCTTTTTAAGGTTTAACTGCTGAGTTTAGTGTCATTTTAAAGCTTCATGTTGCAGTATACATACTTACAATACTTAATACAACTTAAATGTTCTGTGGGGTGAAGAACTGACAACTGTTAATGTGTAAAGATATGTTTACTGTTTACTTGATATTTTGCCCAAATACCCACAGGTATTGTATTCACTGTACTTATGCACTTTTAATCCCAATTATGATATATTTATACATTTTTTTTCTTTTAAGGTGAAATCTGATTTACACATGTTATTTTAAAGTCTAGGTTATAAATTCTTTCTTTAATTTGTTCATTAATTCTATCATCTACGGAGAAGTGAAGGCACCAAAAAACAGGATAGCTTTGGTCTTGTTATGCCGTATGATAAACAGGAAGGGGTGATCTGCCTTAACTTTTACCACTATGGGGCCTGATCTGACAGTTGCAATAGCCCCAGTAGCTGCTGCAGCCTCTGTGCCCTCTTCATTAATGTCCACAAACACTTTGTGAAATATTTGTGACACATAAAGGTTGCCTTTCTCTGATATTCCTGTCAGATCAGCTTTTTCTGGATTAAAGAGATCACTCATTCCCATTTTGCTCAGGTATGACTTCAGGTCATAGTTCTCTTCAAGACGAATACGTGGGAGTTCCAGCTCCACTTCAGTCAACATCATCCCATCAGCACTGGTCCACTCCTTCAGGTTCACATAGTTGAGTTCTTTTTGCAGCTGTTGATGATTGGAAAATAAAAATATAGGTATGAGCACTTCAATTAATATGCAATAAAATTGAGTTGCAGAACATTAAACCATGTAATCAATATAATAATTATCACCTTAAAGTGGAACGGAACTGAAAGTTAATATTTTCTGTGTTATAGAGGGCATCTAAAATTGTTAATTGTGTCTGAACAAAACCCTGAGAAATATAGCTTTTGCCCACAATTTATTCTGAAACATAGCAGTGCACTTTCTGGGTGCCCAGACGCTCCTGTGCCTATAGTATTATTACTGTATATCTTCAGTGTAAGATCTCAGGTAGTGCTCCTTCCAAGGACTGTAGTCATTTTAGATTTTAACTGAGATGTGGTGGTATCACTATTGTGTTGCTCACTGTTCTCTTTTCTGGAGACTCTGACATGAAGAAGCAATGTCCTGCCTCAACCACCCTCACACAAAGACACAGTGGAGAACTAGACATGGTAATACAGTAATGGAGAAAGATTAGCAAAAAGGAGACCACAGGCAATACTGATGACTAGTCCTCTGCCTGCTTTTTTGTGATACAGCTTCCAGACTTAAGTCTCCCTTTAAGCTCAAATGGGATAATTTGATAAAAGCGTTACTGCGTGTGTTATGTGTTACACTATAGGCTATTTTTATCACCTATGTAGATACACCACCTTAGTAAATCTATAAAAGGGGTTACCTCACGTTATCAATACAGATATCACCTGCGTTATTTCTTGCAGTATTTTAACAATTGTTACCATCAAAAAGTGTGTTGAAGTCAGTTTTTTACTCCGTAACCATTTTAAGGACTGCCAGATGTACTGCTGCAGCCATGATCTTGGTATCATCTTTTTCAGCAGGCAATGTTTGTTAAATACAACTGATCTGAGTTGCTGTACAGCAGCTTGCTAATGTGCTGCCTCCCCGTACCTCCACAATGGTTTTTGGGGTCCCAGGCTCCTCTCGGGGGTCCAGGATCACAGCAAACAGTGTCAGTATGGAGAACAGGAGCAGGCCAATGAACATCCATTCCCCATCTGCTCTGTGATCAGTGAAGCAAGGAGCACCGTGCTCTCAGTGCTTCCTGCTTCAGAGCTGTCAGAAGCCAGTTACTTAGGCAATCAAGCACAGTCCTGTGCTTGAGTGTCTGTATTGGAGGGCAGAAGAGACATCAGGGGTCTAATTGATCCCAGATGTCTCCATAAAGAGAACCTGTCACCTCCAAACACTATCACAAAGAGGATTGTTATCCCCTTTATGATAGAAATAAAGTTAAGAGAAAAAAATTAAAAACTGGTAAAAAGTAATCAAATAAATGAAAACCAACCCTGATGCCCTCGCCATCTGCAAGCAAATAAACATGTGCGTGTAGGGCATGCACGTGTACATAAACAATGAATTATAACTAAATAGCTCACCTTTTCCAGTCCAGTAGTGTTATCCTTAATGTCATCTGGCAGTAAAATGATCATACTTGTTTCTTTATTAACATAAGGGAGTTCAAGCACCTTTGTCTCAAGCTCTTCGATGTAGAACATATTATATTTGTTTCTCTGAAACATCATTGGTACCATTTTAGTTTTTGTCTGTATAAAGAGAAGATATATTTATAAAGGTGGAGCACACACATCATTTAAAGTGACACTAAACTTAGTTAAAGGAGTTAAACCTTAAAAATGCATAAAGGTACCTTACATATTAACACAATTACTTCATTATTACATACACATTTATTTTTGTTTCACTCAGATGTAGATCATTAAATCATCTCTGAATTGGTGCTGACACTGTCCTTCCTTCTGTGTGTGTTGTAAAGTAGCCACCGCTCCAAGCTCACTCTCGTGAAGGACTACAATCTCAATACAAATTAGTAAACTGAAAATGATGCATAAATAAGATACATTGTTGTTACATGTTACGGTACTTGAATCCATTTTTAAGGTTTATCTCCCAAGTTTATTGTCACTTTAATGTCTTCACACGCAATGTGTATACAACACATTTTTATGAAAATGCTTCCAAACCTTGCTCAGCCTGAATGGTTTTTGTTCTGTGTTTTCTTCAGGAAATTTTACATCCCAGTTTCCTTTAAAATAGAGTGCGTTCACCAGGACTAACTTTGTTAGCGAGTCAACTGAGTCTTGAGGCAAAAGGTCCTTTATTTTGCCTTGAAGGTAAAAAAAACAAAAAAAAAAACATTGATGGGCTTTTTAATTTAACCACAGTTACTTTTTACATTAATAATGGTTACAAAGTGTCCTATATCATCAGTGCTTCCATGCAATTTAATGAAAATCATACAAATTTTGTGTTGACAGTCACTACTCCTCTGCTAATGCTGAAGAAACTGTGTGTTGCAGCACTAGGACTGCTATCTATATAAGAGGTTTTGTAGGTATGTATAAAGTGTATCTCTAAGCAAAACTTTTTTTATAGTCTTGGGGAAGTGTTAGACCCTCTTTCAAGTTTTTATTACTGTGTCCCCCCATTAGAGAGATCCACCACTAATTTTCCTGGTGATCATTATCACTAAGAAAAAAAGTGAGGGAAAATCCAACATAGAATTGAATTATCAATAACATTTTACACATAAAATCCCGTAGGCCAACTGTGATGGTCGTGTTTGGTTGTCCTCCACGCATAAAAGTGAGGGAAAATCCAACATAGGAATGGTTTATCAATAACATTTTACACATAAAATCCCGTAGGCCAACTGTGATGGTCGTGTTTGGTTGTCCTCCACGCATTTATTGCATGTTTGTACATTGTTTAGTGTCACTTTAAACACTTTACAACCATTATGTTTACAAAAGTCCATTCCCACATCAACATATTCTTCATATCATCATATTCTACACTTCATGCAATATGTAACTTGTTTGTGGATAAAATAGCTGAAGATACTTGGAAGTATCATGTTTTAACATGCAACAGGCAGTTTTCTGGTGGCACACATGATGCAATCTATTTTCAGACTTTATGCCACGTTTGAACATTTATAAGAAAGCATATCCCGTACCATAGATCAAAAAATCTTCCTAAATTGGAAATAGAAATATGAGTTAGACTATGAAAAACATAGGATGTGGAAATAAAAACTAGGCTTAATATGGAATTTTCCTTTACAAATAATAGTGAATAGCAAGAGGATGAACTTAACAAGGGAATAGGCACAATGAGCACTAGGCTAGAACATAAGGTCTATTATTATTATAAGATATTTAAAGCATATCCGAATTCTACATTTGTGTTCAATTTTTGTACATTGAGGAACTTACTAAGGGAATAGGCACAATGAGCACTAGGCTAGAACATAAGGTCTATTATTATTATAAGATATTTAAAGCAGATCCGAATTCTACATTTGTGTTCAATTTAATCAAAATATGTAGGCTTTATAGAAGGTGGTCAGGGATGAAAAAGGCTTTCTAAATGTACCTGTTGGCTTTATTTAGCTGGTTGCATGACAATATAGATCAGAGTCTTGAGACATAAAGCTGCAGTACACTTAGGTGCTGATATCAGCAGAGTCTTCACTCAGAGCAAGTGAAAGAATCGACACTGTCACCCATAATACTTCCGCAGAACCACTACAGATCTTGTTGTAACCCATTGCAAAGTTTAGGCCATATGTCACTGAACAGGAGTGCTAGGGGATCTGTTTAACAAAACCTGGCAGGTAAATTTGTTTAATTTGCAAAAACCCCTACCAAACACCTGTCCTAATGACTCCATAACAGGAAATTAGGCTAAATGTTGGGGAATCTGAAAATAACGTTTGTAGATTACAAAATATAAGTACAAATAGGACATTTGGCAGAAGTGACAGTAGGGATTGTGTTTTGTTCTCTGTTTTCCCATACCCAGTCACATAGCTCCTAAATGTTTTCTATACAGTGCTCTAATTGAGGCTGTATATTCTCTTTTGAGGACATTTTTCACCCTACATGATACTGCTCCACAACTTATATTGCTGCAGAGCACACCAGCAGAGATGGAATAAAGGTGATCATGCCCAGTGAGTGACACTCCCCAATTTCCAGTGCTTGAGTCATGCTGATCTTCAGACAAAGAATAGAATTCTAGGTGCACACTGACCATTGTTATAAAGCTGCCGATCCTTTCTGTTCAAACTAAAATCACATATTGGAGAAAATACTCCAGCTTATCTCCAGGCAAACAGCTAAATACACAGATGACATTTATATTTGCAGACATCTCAACTCTCCCGGGTGTTCCAGGAGTCTCCCTCTATTAGATAGCGGCCCCCGGACACCCAGGAGAGAAACATTTTCTCCCGGAAAGGTTTACGCAGAGTAAACCTTTCCGTGCTGTCTATTTTTTTCTTTCTGACATTGGGGCCGCCGGCCGCTGTCAGTCAGAAAACCCCAAAAAACAGCATAGTAACTAATCGCTAGATTGCTATTGGTTATTTCAATTTGCAATAGCCAATAGCAGGCTAGCTATTGTACCTGCCCACTGCTGTCAATCAGTTCCTGAAGTTCTCCATCAGGTTCATCTCTGCTAACTGACAGCATTAGCTTCTTTGCTATCTGCCATCATTTCAGGAGGGTGCTCTCTTCCTTGTTGTGGCACCCCCCCCCCCTGCGGGGGGGGGGGGGTTAACAGAGGGCACCTCCCTGAAATGAGAGGGGCACCTCTCTGAATGTATTTATTTCAGGTTGGGACCCTGGTAGTTCCGCAAGTGCCTGGCCTCCTCTGTTGCCGGACTGGTCGGAAGTGACGTGAGGTCACTTTCGGCCGGCCCGAGATCAGAAGAGCAGCGGCGCCGATGGGGCTCCAGCCTGCTCTGATACCGCTGGATGCTGGGGCCCGGCGCTGCTAGGGCCAGGCCTCTTTCGGTGCTGCGTGGGGCCCAGCCGAACCCTCACCTTTCACCGTCGGGGGGGACATAGATTAAAGTCACTGTGTCCCCCAATATCAGTTTTAGTTCTGCTCTACAGGAGCACTCTGAAGAAATGTAAATGTAACTTATCTGGAAACTGTTGCAAGCCTGTGAGCAGGGGCGTGGTTGCAACTGTGCCTTTCCCCAGCTAATTAAAACTTTTTCTACATGGAGGCATGTTGTCTGCATTTTTCAGTGAGCTCACCTAGGTTGTCACTATATCCAACATTTTAAATAAAGTAGGTGTTATGCTATAAAATATATAAGGATTCCATTTGTTCATATTCAGAGGAGCTTTTGACCAATGCTTAAGGAAGCTTAAAGTAGAACTCCAGGAATTGTAGTTCTATTTTATTTTTAGATTATATTTTTAGATTTTATTATTAGGGAGTCAGGGACAGCACTGTCCCTGACTTCCTCCTCAGTCTAACACCTGAATTAATTAATTAATTTTCGATTCTTGGAATCTATCTTATAGAAATTCTATGCACTTTTGAGATTTAGATATCACTGTGACTGTTATATGTGAGGCACTATTGCTCAATATCTGATTTATACACTTTTGCACAATTTGAGATTATTTTTTATATGTCAACTGTGTTACACGGAGTTGATTCACTATTTGGTGACCCTGAGCGCTGCACATTCAATTACATACAGTTACTGTGTTATACTGATGAAGGGGTCTACATCGTCCTGGATGGTCATGACCCTAACCCTCTATCCCTGAAGTTCAGCAATAAAGTCTCTTAGCAGTTATCTGCAGTCTGGACTTTGCTTTGTCGGTCGCCACAGAGGGTGGTAAGAGCTATTGGGATATCCAGGTTGCTTAAAATAGACAGACAGGCTATGGAAGACCTGTATATTACCGTGGCCCTTTCGAGGGAAGCGCTACACTAACATGATCAAACTTACTCTCTGTCTGCTCTTCCACCCAAGTATTAATCTTGTTCCTGACATCTTCTGCTTTTTGAGCGAAGTCCACAGCTTGTATTTCAGCACGAAAATGTTTCTTAATTAGTTGCTGGTATTGCTAGGATAAATGGAAAATGATTAAATACATCAAAAGCAGCACTCTATGAACAGCAGAGCCACACAGTCACTGTTCCCGAAGCTCTACTTTAGTTCTTTTGTATAAAACAGCGAACTGTGTGGCTCTACTGTTAATAAAGTAAGTGGATTAGGAAAATAAAATGAGTAGCAATGAAGGCCCTGTCCTGGTGAAACCTCTCTCAGGGTTTTATTGCTGATTTGTCACCATTGGTGAGATTTCCCTCCATTTCCTTTGGTTACTGGTGCTACACAGAGCAGAAAGTAATAGTAAAAGAGCACACTTTTACTGTTTCTTTATAAATCATCTGCCCAGCGTATGGCTGGGTGAATGCCATTCACATGGCAATACCACTACTAGATGGCGCTGAGGAGCATCGGAATTCCATCTGGTGGCGGCAGTGCCGTGCAAACGGCATTCACCAGCTATACGCTGGGCCGAAATTGTATATATCATCCCCATAGGGTTAGGTAGGGTATGATCTGGTGTCTTTTGGGCTTTTTTTGATGTGTGCTTTTTTTTGTACTTTCTATTCCAGGTACTGATGGCATCAGGAATATAAAAACATAAAATCTTCCTACAGGGGACACCAGAAATAATAACACCTGATCGCATGCCCAAAATGTTTTCATTCTATCCAAAACTCAAAATGAATAAAAAATTAATTAAAATAAATGTTTATTTATTGCATTTATATCACATAGCATTTTGCACAGTGCTTTCCAGAAAGCATAAATCAATTTCCAAATGGGCTCACAATCTTGCTTTGTTTCAGAAGCTGCTGTGGTGGTACTCTGCTTCTTTACTTTGAATTATTAGTCCCAGCAGGCTAGTTATACAGTGCTACAGTTTTTAATATACAGGTTCCCCTTTTATTACTTCATTTAAATGTGCGTGTTGGAATCTTGAAAATGCCTTACCTGAACAATATGGAAGCTCTTTTCACTGTATAGCCTGTTAGCGGTTTTCAGAATAAATTGATTCCTGCGTTGATTGACATTTGAAAAAAGCTCTTCAAAAGCCCTGGGGATGTTTTGTATATGTACAGTGCCTGTATTCTGTGGACAGAGTTAGTTTTAACATTTGCTTTAATTCGCTTTCGTTCATTTTTTAAGGCGACATATTGTACAACATATTGTACATCACATTAGATAACCATAGCAATAACAATAGACAGATTTCTCAAAAGAATAGAAATCATAGGGATGTGAGTCATTTTACCAATGTTAGTGATCAAGATAAAGAAAAGATAATATGACCAATTTCAACATGACATTTTCATTATCAATGTTATGTCATTATCAATGGTATGGCATCAAATGGATATTGATAGCAAGCAGTGGAACATATGAGGCAGAAAAGATTAAAACAAGGAAAAGGGAGGATATGAAAATAATCTGAAGGCATAGTATATCCTCTTATTGTGTCACATTTAAAGGGTTGTTAAAATTAAAAGTTTGCTTTAAAGTGTAACTACACTTTAAAAAAATAAAAATGAAAGAATCTGTAAAAAATGAATATAACGTATATTATTGTCACACACGGCAGTTTATAATTTTATGTTATTAAAGATTACCTTTCCATTTAAAACTGTAATGCTCTAAATTTGTAAAAAAAAATCAGTGCAATATGGCGACCTGCAGGCGTTCTGTACACAGCTGGTGTACAGAACAACCTCAGAAATGTCACTTACTGCTTTTGTGATTGGCTGACTGATTTTCCCAGAAGTCTGCACTAAGATAAAAGTATAATTTTTGGCATTCCTTACAATAGGAATTTCATTTTTGGCAAGATACTACCTAAGGGTTAATTACTACTAAAGGGATGCAGACACTGCAACTTTCCCTATTATAACCCAGGAAGTCCACCATCTGATTATAATGAACCCAGACCCTCCCATTCAGGAATCAGTTTGGAAAGGACATGCTGCAACAAGCAGCTTTTTCTTCAGAACAGATACAGGTAGGGAACTGTAAGAAAATTTGTTAAAAATCCTTGTATAGAACACCGATCACCCAGAGGGGTAAATACTGGACTTGCTGAAATGTTCTTAGCCTGCAAATAAAAACCAATGCAGTCACCACACCTCAGGGCTGGAATGCTTATGGATATTCAAGTATTTACATATTGTTAATAAGCAGTAAATTAGATTTACAACAAGCCATCAATGATCTCTGTAGCTGCAGACTCTATGGGAAAATTCATCCTTTCATTTCACGAGAGCAGGACTGAAGTTGTTTCAATCTGGTATCAGTTCTCATTCCTGCTCCCCTCCAGTACACTTGCTCTGTGTTCACACAGAGCATTGGGAGGTTGGCAGGCTGCCAACTGACTGCTGATAGGTGGAGCAAGTTTAGCTCAGCTGCTGAAAGTGAAAGAGCTTCCTCTGTAAGCTTGAGAAGCAAACTCCACCTTTGTGACCATGTTTCATGGTACACCCATATTTAGGTTGCAGCCAGGGCCAGATTCCCCACAAGGCCACCGAGGCCGTGGCCTGGGGCGGCAGGGAGTAGAGAGGCAGCACATATGATACTGGTCCTTTACATTTTTTAGGAAGTTCAGCTACCTGAGGTCCTGAGCTTGCTGGGAGCCCCACACCCACCAGCACATTCCTGGAGCCCAGAAAAAGCCAGCCGGATGCCACCGGTTCAGCCCTAGAGAGCCCAGCAGCTGCATGCAGAGCCCTAGGGTGAGACCTGCACGCATCCCTGGTGAGACCTGCACGCATCCCTGGTGAGACCTGCACGCAGCCTTGCTGAGACCCAAACGCAGCCCTGGTGAGACCCAAACGTTAGCCTGGTGCGATCTGCACGCACCCCTGTATAATTGCTGTGTAATCATAGATTGATGGAATCTGTAGTCCTCTATAGCCAGTTGTCATTCTCCATTGCTGTATAATTAATGAATATACAGCAATAGAGAATGACAAACAGCAATAGAAGACTATAGAGGGGGGCGCTTTGAGGAACCTGGCCTTGGGGCAGCTCTTACTATAATAACAGGTATTTTTCTCCATGCAAGACTCTGGTTGGATTTGAATTTAGTGTGGCTGTGCATGGCTCCACTGGCACAGCCACTTCATTTTTTTCACTCATAAATTCACAGTGTGAATGAAAAGACTACAAGGTCCATCTGTCCCCCATGACAAAGGGACTTGCAGTTCTCAATGGAATAGAAGCATGGCGACGTCACCACACTTGTAGTCTATTGATTCCTTCCTCCAGCCATGTAATCAAAAGCCCATACCTAGGTACAAACAGAGGTTGGGAGAAAGAGTCTGCAGTCAACTGGGAAATGCACCCAAAATTTGCTGATCGTAGTTGCAATTCTGGATGCAATTGTTTGCAGGTATAAATCGGAAACTATTATTAAATGCACATTTTTTTCTTTTTACAACGTGGACATTTATTAATTTTTTGGAAAAGGTAAAATATGCCTGCAGGTCAGTGAGGTCTTGTTTTAAAGCTTATTTACTGCTTGTTAAAAATATATAAAACAATTAAAAGTCCAAAACTTGTACACTTTTTACACTGCATTTTAAGGGGTATTATCAAAAGCTGCTATCAACAATTACATACAGTATGTACCGATATTTGACTTAAAGTGTTGTGTGCTTTTTAAATACAAAAATACAGTATATACAGATTCTGGAGCTCTCTCTATATTGTTATACTTTACCACCTTACCTTTTGCCTGCCAACATAACTGAAATAGCAACCTTGTGTTCAGAAAGCTTGCATTTATAAAAAATACTTTTAGTTTGGCACTAAACAGTATCGCTTTTCGCATTTTAGTGTATTGATTTATTTCAAAAAGACTTGGCTGCTGCTATTTGCCAGCAACGCATACAGGAACAATGCTACAATGTGAGCAGTTATGTCAAAAATGCACATTGCTGTCCAATACTACTAGAACAGAGATGTCCACGAGCGTTCTGTTACTTTACCTTTTGCTTCGTCTGTGACATTGAACAGGTTTGTTTTTCTGGAGCTTTCTTGAAGTTTAAAACCTATAAAGATGATTTTTTTGGATGAGATTGATGCAGAATGGAAAGCATAATGTACAACAAATAAACTCAGTTTTCCACTGCAGCGTATAATTAACATAAGGGCCTGTATAGACGGCATCAGTTTGACATTGTTTTGAGAAGCTTCTGAGATTATTCAAAATTCATTGTATGGGAATGCAAAACCCACTTGACATGAACAAAAGCCCATTGACACAGACCCTAACTGGTGAGATTCATGAACATTTTTGCATATATTTATTAAGGAGGTGATTTATAAACCATTTGCATAGCGAACAGCTATGCAAATAAAATTCACAGTACATTGTGGCCACTAGATGGAGCCCAGGTGTATAGGAATTTCCTATGCTATCTTTATTTCCTATCTCCAACTAGCTGTCTGGATTTCCACTGGGTACATTTCCAGTCACCTCCGGTTACAGTGATAGGGTGTCAGGGAGACAGGAAGTGATACAAAAAACCCCATCTCTTATAGGGAGAAAGACAGGAGCAAAAACTATTTTCTAGCAGAGCGGGGGAGGGTTAGAACTTCTCCGCTCTGTTACAAAAATGACTTATATATTGATTTTGAAGTTGTAAATGATTGCACAATTGTGTGGTCAAATACCATTGAGTGATACACAAATAAGATACATTTGTGTTAATAGTTAAGGTACTTGAATGTATTTTTAAGATTTAACTCCTTGTGATTGAGGTGAAAATTCACTTTGCAAAGTATACCCAGTTACATGCAAGGAAGTAAAATAACTGTATCTTTCCTTACATGATTGGATGATAGAAGTCAGCAGAGCTTCACCTCATTCACTAAGCTAAAGGAAAATTCCCTTGCAAAATAAACAGCCTATTTCCCTTCAGTAAATCAACCCCACTGTCTTCTGTGTAGGTGCAAGAATGGCTAAAGACATGAGAACATGCTTCCAATGCCTCCTGCCTGAGCCTGCTCAGAAAAACAATGAATTGGCCAGGATCTTATTTTTTCCACCTAACACTTTAACTTTCTCTGCAAAGAGCTCCTGCAAAGCTCCACCCCATTCTTCTCCATAGGCAAGTCTGCCTGATGTAAACCTGCTTGTTTGTATGACCGTTGTTCATAAGAATGATCTTCAGCATTAGGATTGCGCATGCACAGTCGATCACCATCTAGACTGTGTAGGAACCCTAAAGTAATGCTGCCCATTCAGCAGTGGGCTTTACAGAAAAACTGTCCCATTTCCCTGAGTGGGCAAGGTCATGTTATGAAAATTCAAAAAATATTATTTTAAAAAGGAATTTTGTTTGTTTTGAATATGTAACGCACATACCTTCATGGGGTAACATAAAATAAGTCAGTAATTCAGTAAAGAAATTACGTTTCTAGCTTTAGTGATATAACTTTCCCAGCATGTTGGAAAACATTATGCCCTGATGTTAAAGGGATATTAAAGTCAAAAGGATTTTAAGCTATTTCAAATGCTGATGAAATCACTGACAATGGATGATGCTCATTGATGTTTAAAAGTTTGAGTTTCCTGCAGAATCAGCTGGTCCAATGAGCACTGGTCCTGACTTCCTGTTTTAGTGGCTCCTTTTTCAAGCAGAGTGCTATGCAGTCACACTTGTGTGTGCTAGTAAGCTGTGTGTGTCTCCACAAACACACAGACACAGCAAATTGAGCTACTTCCATCCTCCCTGGCCCTCTCTCCTCCCTACTCCAAGCTAGTAGACGAACAGTTGCTGCAGTCTGCTCTGCCCTATGTGATCCTGCACCAGACAGGAAGTTCAGTGAACCTTAGAGACTTGGAAGCAGCTGTTCAGAAACCTGATGATTGTAAGTATTTGGGCAAAAAAGTAAAGCAATGCTTTGCTGGGCAATGTATATTTATTTAAACTGGATTAATTATTGAAAAAAGTTTACTATTACTTTAAAGTCCATCCAGTATAGCTTTAGAGAGTTTTTGAGTGGGGAAAAGTGAGAACTTCTGTCAGGTCTGTATTGTTGTCTATGACTCCGACGGGTAGATTTTTGCTCACTTTATGTCCTCTTGATACCCCGTATCATTGGGACAGGAAAACACAGTTCTAATGCTTTTCCACTGAACAAGAAAATGTGTTTGTGTTGCTGTATCTGTCTCTCTATTCAGGTCTACTGTACAGAGACTGATACCAGGTCAAATTCAGGTCTGCACTGCTTGTGCTTAAAAATTGTTTAATTTTTTTTCTATCTGCTATCAGAAATAAGTCAGAATTATTTATCTCTATACTTGTTATGGGTAAGTGACTCAAAGCACTGAGGCCAAGGCATCAGCATGGGAGTCAGGTAACTAGCATTCTCAAACAGAGAGTTCAGCAATGGCAACCTTCATGGTTTTTCTCATGACAGATTCTATTTAATGTTAATGTGATGTTTTTTACTGTTCTTTGCACTGTTGGATATATAAGTGGAAGAGGTAGTGAGGAGCACTACACTATAATATTCCACAGAGTGGTATGTAACCTAAACCTGATAATGGGTCATAACTGTATTTTAATTAACAACTGAAGAGGGACTAAAGAGGAAGAGAGACAAGCTATTGCTAAATACAGTTTAACTATTAAAAGCTGTATCCTGTTATATATTTCAATAAGAAAGCCTAAGGCAAATCCAGTGGATAAACCCAATACAGCTAAAAGAAATGATGATGTGCAAAGTGTAGTGAACCAAAAATCATCTATTATCTGAGCTTGCTATAGTACCTGGTTGCTATAACTTACAGGAGTTGCACTTAAACCTTGTCTTACCTAATATGACCCTAGTTTGTTAATTCTAGAAGTGCTGACCACAGAACAAAAGGGTCTTCAACAATTGCTTGTTTGTGACTATAGCAGTTAGGTAAACCTAAGGCAAGTCAACTAGATGAATCCAATAAGGCCAAAAGAAATAATGACATGCAAAGTGCAGTGACCCCAAAATCATCTATTATCTGAGCCTGCTATAGTACCTGGGTGCTACAACTTACAGGAGTTGCACTTTACCCGTGTTTTACCTTATTAAACACTGGTTTGTTATTTCGAAAAGTGCTGACCACTTTAACAATTGCTTGTTTGTGAATTTGGCAGTGAGGTACTTACTTCAGACATCTGGACTTCTGTATTGCCTTTAGTACCAACATAAACCATGGTCACAGCGGCTGCAATACTCCATGGAGAAAATGCTATGTTTTGGTCATTGTCTTCAATAAGCTTCTGATAAAGCTTCATGCAGACTTCATTGTACGATTTAACCAATGCTTCCATAGTTGTTTTAAACTTCACAAAATAAAACTGTCCTCACGGGAGGAATAAATTTATCTGCAAAATAAAATAAAGTAAAAAAAAAATCTCCACCATGCATATGCTGTGTTTTACTGTAGGACTACTAAAATGTGATGGGTTACTTTGGCTTACTACTCTAAATTCATGTTCATTGCATCATGGACTTCCTTAGTAGGTATTTTTTATATTTTTCCTGCTAAAATGTTGAAACTATTAAAATACCTACATCTGTATAATACATCTAGACTGCAATTTTAAGTATCAACATAGCATAATATGTTCATCTCTAGTCATATTCTATATTCTACAGTTTACAAGATTCACTGTATGTAGTCAATAACATTATAAAGTACCTGGTATGTTGAAGTTCTTCAGAGCTGACTGTTACATTGCTAACTACACCCAAATATATACTATACTTTCAACATCAATTAAAGCAACAACTGTTTCCTGAAATATTTTAATCCCCTGCCTCAGCACGTACCTTTTACTTCTTGGCTCACAGGAAGCAGATTTGCCAACACAATTGAATCACAAAAAAGCTGATAGGCATGCAGCACTAAACATGTCTTTGCAAACTGTGGCAGCAATAAAAAATTGTGGGAGGTGGATAGGAAAAATACAGAATGTTTAAGTGTACTAGAATAGGCATGTCTCCTGCTATTGCTAATCATACACCCTCTATTGTAATAAGATGACAAAGCTGTCAAAATCCAGCAGTGTCCTCTCAAGAATGTACTAAAGTTAGAAAAACTTTAAAGAGAGAAGAGAGACAGAGAGAAGCCCAAAGACAGTTTGTATTCCAAAGCCAGTTACAGAATAATTACTATTATGTTGGTCGAGCACCTTTCCTGTCAAATTTCTCATTTTCCTTACTAGCCCTGATTGCCTTTTTCTTCCGTGGATACTGTGGAAACAGAAACAATCCAGTAATTCAGAATCTGGTTTAGTGCACTGTTTGCCTATTGTATGGTTTGAAATGTAAAGCTGTGACATGATATTATGCCAGGAGTGTTTCCCTGGTGCATAGACAATGGTTTTTAAATTAAAGGATTAGTCCACCCAAAACCATTATTTTGAGTTTTGGTAGATGAGGAAAAGTTAAAGCCCAACATGAGCCAAAACCTTTTTTATGTTTTTGTTTTCGATAGACTTAGAATAGATTCTTCTGAAAAGTTTTTAGTGCTTCTTGTTGTGCTAATAAACCCCTAAATTTGGAATACAAATTATGGCAGTATACCTGGGCACTTGCATTGTCTGCTGCTTCTTCTTCAAAAGCTTTCCTTTCTTTTTGATTGGGGTTTAGAGTAACCTGTTTTGAGTAGTTTAACCACTTGAAGTCCGAGGTGTTAAACCACTTTCCTATCCAGGCCATTTTTCAGTATTCAGCGCTGTGGTACTTTGACTGACATTTATTCCGTCATGCAATGCTGTACTGAAATTAATTTTATACAATTTTTTGGGGGACACATAGAGCTTTCTTCTGGTGGTATTTAATCACCATTAGGGTTTTAATTTTTTACTATATTAAGGAAAAAGTAACGATTTAAAAAAAAAACAGTTTCCCCTATATTAAATGATAAAACATTTATTATTCCCCATTTTTTTGGTAAAATATAAAAGATGCGGTCACGTCGGGTAAAAAGACACCAAACATGTCAAGCCTTAAAACTGCGCACGAAACCTCAAAAAGCTACAACACCCAAAATTGACAGTAGGCGGCGCTTTAAAAGCTTTTACCACTCATCAGTTTAGTGTTATCAGTGATTGATGGCCCTAAAATTATTGCTCACACTCAGACGTTTGCGGCGATATGTAACGTGTAGCGCAATTGTCATTGGCGCACCGGATGCGTATTTACTTTTTTATGTGCGTAAACGTGGGGGTGGGGGACTTATTTTTTTTTTAACTTTTTTAAAATGTGACTTTTATTTTTTTACACTTATTGGTATTGCTATCACATAGGGGGATAACAACCCCCCTATATAATAGCAAAGGCACACTGACAGGTCCTCTTTATGGAGACATTAGGGGTCTCTAAGACCCCTAATGTCACCTGGGGACCCCAAAAGAAGCTGACGGGGACCCCAAAAGAAGCTGACGAAGCAGATATCTGCCTCATCAGGTTCTTCTCTCTGGCTATAGCAGCAAGCTGACTGATAGGTCAATGCCGAAGTGATGAATTACACATTACTTCCATATTCACAGCACGCAGGGAGGTCAGCAAGGAGGAAGATGCTGATCTCCCTCCCATCTTACCTCCTGACACCCTCCCGAGCCGGTCCTGGGCTGCAGATGGGGTAGCGGATCCCGGGATTGAAGGTGAGAGGTGAGGAGGAGAGAGGCAGCGGCAGCACTTTAGCACTTGCCTTTGAAATCCCTGCGGTTTGCTATTACCTACCTTGTTCCCTGTGTGTCTCTGGATTCCCTCTTGCTCCCAGTAAGATCCTGCACATCCAGCAAGTGGATTGTTATCATCATCTTCAGTGAGTCCTTGCACCTATGCTTACCTGTGTGTCTGTCATCTTGTGTGGCTGCCTGTTCCATGCAGCCTCGCTCTTCAGTGTATCCCGGATTGTCATGTTGTTGCTGCCTCCTCTCACACTATTACTTGGACTGCTACCCTCAATGTCCCTCAATATCAAGAACTACTGTCTGTGTATAGGCTTCACCCCTGCCTGGTGTTGTATCCAGCACCTTGGTGGTGTAACTAGCCTCTGTGTGTGCATGCTAGAGGGCCGCAACTTGGAAGGTGTCCAGCAGCCAATCATCCTCACTATTAGAGGCTCTCTCGAACACCTGTCCTTTTATAGAATCTGCGCCTCTAGTGTGTCCCTGGTAACGCACAGACACCTACTTTCTGTGTTTTCAGTGATCTTTATCCCAGACACCATTTTTTGCACGCTATTTTTAGTCATTTTGTGTGCCCCGGTCGCCGGACCTTGACAAAACATAGGCAATAAAAACTCGTTCTTTAGTGCATTAGCACCTATGTTATTGCAGAATGCACCTGTGGCTGTTACTTTTTCTGGATATCTACTCTGCTAATGTAACATTAACTCACATGTCTTTTACAGGAATGAAGCATTATACATTTTCCACTTCAGTAGAAGTGCGAGGGATATACACCTTCTCAAGGAATTTTAGGTGGAGATCTGCAAATCATAACTGGCTTCATTGGCTTCCAGCCATGATTTGCGAGTCTCTATAATTTCTTATATAAGGAATAACTCCCTTGACATATACAAGCAATTGCAAACATATACTGTATTCCTTGCAATAAGAATGGCATCATCTGTTTTTTTTTATTGCGGTAGAATGTTAGTGGGCTTTTCAGGTAGTCCTGGCACGGTGCTAAACATTTTTATTTGAAAAAATTAAAGTGTCTACATAATTGTCAGCCTATTGTGTATGTCTCAAACTTTCCTTGCTACAGCTTCCATGACTGACTGACTAGTTTTCAGGGTCTCTATGGCAATTAATGCTGATCTCATGACACAGTTTATTATTCCGATTGCTGCCTAGGTCTGATCACATTTCATTCTCATTAATTAAGGGACACAGGATTCAGCTATTAAGGCAATTGGGTTATTGCTGCTTTCAGGAGGTTTGGACACTAGCTAACAAAAATATTAAGCCATTCCCTGTGTAAGCCCAGCTCCAACTGTCATGCTGCTGTATTTTGATGGTGCTCTAAAACCTTGCTAGACCGAAGACAGTGGGGCCTGCCTGGAATGTGACCTTCAGGCACTGGACTGTGCCAATGGTTCTTTCTAGTCCTTAGTGTTTTGTGTTAGTAAGTGCAGGGCGCTTTCCAGGGTCAGAGCTGTGACACAGTCTTTGGTGTGGCCCAGTTTCAGAGGACTCAATCTGTGGATGGGGCAAAGACAAACTAAATGTCCTTTGGGCACTGGGCTCTGCATTATGGCACTTTACAGACCTTTGTGTACTATATAAGTTAGGTATCTTAGTGTATGTTCTTTAAACTCTGTACTCTGCATCATCGTGTTTTACACTTTTTTTTGTACTAACCTAGTTTCCCAGAAAGTGCTCCCCTGATCCCTGAGCGGTGTCACAAATTCTGGTCTCTTGTTTTGTTCATCTCCGAATGCTCTAATACGATACCATTATGGATTCTAAATTGTGGCATTTTTCAGACCCTTCTGTACTGTGTCAGTTTGCCGCAACTACCCTCCATTTCCCGAGCTGTGGCACAACCTTTGGTGTGACCCAGTGTCTGTAGCTTATTTCCTTCTGAATAATTCTCTGTTTTTAGATTAATATAACTCTGCCTTATATCACTTCTTTGTTGCCTGTGTACTGTTTTTAGTTTTTGGCGGAGTTCTACCTATTTTTGGAGCTGTGACACAACCTGCAGATGGGACACAACCCCTCCTAACACATTTAATGGTAGGACCAGCAGGCTGCAACAAGGGAACTGCGTCACAATATTGTCTGCCGGGCGCTCTTTTTTCTTTTGAAATGTCCTGCCCTTTTTCCTGAGCGAGGAACTTAGTGCTGACTTAGTGATGGCGCCATCTACTAGAGACAGTGTCACACAAGCTTTTACCTTTCCTGCCCTTCAGCTCAAGTACTTCCAGGAGCTTACGTTGCTGAAGTGCATTGTGTATTGTCTATTCACCGGTCTTTTCCACTGCCTACCTTCAGTGTCCTTGTCACCTTAAGATGCCTTTAATTCTTACTAGCTTCTACTGTCTGGTTTTGTGAGTACACGTTGCCTTGCCTCACTTTTGGTCAGTTGCTTCCCACTAACTGGTGCAACATTTATGTAAAGGAGAACTATGGGGTAGGTGTTTTTCCCCATAGTTCTCCTAAGGGTCACGGGAGGACATAAACTAGCATCCTCCCATGACCCAAAGCTCAGTATATCGCGAGCTACTTCTGTATTGTATTTTTGCTTGCACATAATTGGATGATGGAAGTCAGCAGAGCTTCTACTCATTCACAATGTTAAGGAAAATTTCCTTGCAAAGTGAAAATTCTCTTTGCTAAGTGAACAGTCTTTAGTAAATCAACCCAATTGCATTTTGACTGTCACAACTCTGTATTTATTGTGGTTAGATTTTGAAATTTCTCCTTCTCATCTTTCCCATTCTGAGGTCCCTATATGTCTATTGCATTACATTTTACATTCAGTTAGCATTTTCTTTCCTCATATTTTCCCATATTGTTTTCCCAGAGGTTCAGGGTTTGGTATCCTAGGTTTTGGCTTGTTTTTGTTGTCAAATTAGCTGTTGTTCTATGTTTACTTCAACCTGATTTTTTTTTTCTTATGGCGGTTTACTGGTTGTCCTCTGCTTCTTGTTGAGGTCAATCATTATTTACCTAGCAGTCTTCCCCCAGCGTTTGCTGGAACCTCTTCTTGATGGTTTAGCAATTTCCATAATTGGCACCCCTATTTTTTCATCCTGCTCTGTTCAAGCATAGAGTGCTTCTAGTTAAAATGTTTCCTATTCATTGGATCTCTGTGGCTGTTGCCCACCCATCAGTTGGACTGATTTTGGACATCCCAATTGTCTCAAAGCAGACTGTTACACTTAAAAATCAAATTCTACCAATTCTGTATGTGTGATGATATATAATAATATAGACATGTCAGGTGTAAAATGCTGCGCTTTTAAAATACTTACACTTGCAGAGCATTCACTTCCTACTTTCAATTAGATACCTTTCTTAGAGACCATAACATACAGGGGTACAGGTACTCTTAAAAACTAAGACCACACAGGGATATATATACACATGCACGCACTACACACACACACAGTCACATAACGGTTGAACTTGATGGAGCTGTGTCTTTATTCAACCTCAAATACAATATGTAACTATGAAAGCGCAAAATGACTTCAGTTTGCCAAAGTAATGCACACTGGGATTGCCTTGTCATCAACAGAGCATTGTTGGGAAATCTCATCTGTAATCTCACGCGACTGCAGGGGAAGTTATTTGCCTCCCCTGAGATGATGTGCATATTCACATATCTAGTCACATGTGTCAGAAATCCGTCCAATGCCTGATTGACAGCTGTATTTGCCTCTTTAGAGACCTGCCCCCTCCCCTGTCTGTCCCTCCAATGAGCGCTGGAGAAACAGAGAGGGTAGGGGGGAGTCCCTGTGGGGAGTGGTGCCAGGAGCCGAGTTATCAGCGGTTTGTGATTGCTCAGTTCTCGAGCTATAGAACAGACATGTTACAGCTGCAGTGTCACAACCATTGGAAAGAGTATATTTTACTCTCTCAATGGTTCTCCTGTAATTAACTCCAAGAAATTGATTCATGGTAAGTATAAAAATTCTGTTTTTTGTTAGCCTCTTAGTGTTGTGTATACTATAATTTAGCAGGCAAGCTAGTAGC